ATCCTTTAGTACGTAGACATTATAGTAAATCCTACTATATCGTATGTTGCCTTACTCTCCCTATTGCATGTCGTACTCTATAGCATAGGTTACGCTAATATCCTCGACTATTATAATTAGACGTAGGCGGATAGGTAACTAGCCTTAAAATGCTATAGATTGCTTTCTATCTTCTGTAGGCGCTTTATACTCCTAGACCTAAACCTAATTACGCTAAGGTTTGCCCCCTTTCTACTAATTCTCTACGTAACGAGCAATGTTTCGTTCTATAGTACTACTATTATCGGTAATGTCGCTATACTCCTTCCTACACTTAACAAAGTGATGCAGCTAGATAGGATAGTCATTTACCTAAGTGTCCATTAGCTTAACTCTATCTAGATCTAGGTTACTTAGCTGCTCTCGATTATAAGGGCGTAATTCTCGGATAAACACTACTATCGCCTATCGGAAAAGCGGGCCCTCTTCTAGCCTAAGTAGCTCGACAATGTCCCTTACTAGTCACTATAAAGCCTTCTTTATCCTCCGATTTTGTCCTAGTAGTCTAAATACTAAGTTAATAGGCTATAGTTCTCTAACCGAGACTAGCTCTTCGTCCCTTTTACGGCCGTCTACTAAGGTAGGTTAGGGACTATAGTAGAGAATGTCTTATAGCGCGAGCATGTTAATGCTACGTAAGTAGTACTCTATTAGTTAGTCCTCCTAGTTGTTCTTCTTATTAGTCCTTCGGAAACCTTCTTTTATATAGGTGTAATGCTTATGCTCTAGATGACTTATGTCCTAGTTCAGCGTATAGCTATAAAGGCGTATTATTTGTACGCAATAGGTTAAAGAATGCTACTTTAGAAAGTTAAAGTGCTACTCGTCGTCCTTTGCTTTTAGGTTACGATATTTTCGAAACACTTCCTTATACTAGTTTATCCGATATAACGCTAGTTCAAAATATCTAAGCGTGTTGTCGTCGTAGCTCTAATACATAGCTAGCGTAATGAAGTCAACTATAGCCTAGATAAACTAAATAGCTGCGTTAGCTTCTAGAGTGCCTACTTCTTCGAGCAAGGGGACAAATATAGGCAGTATCTAACGGAGGATGTATTTTTGTTCTACTCCTATCTATTAACTTACCTTAGATAAGTGCTAGAATACGCGAATCGTCGCAAACTTTAGAATAGACGCGAATCGACGGTCGACGATACTAGTTATAATGCTTTTAGCTACTTTAGCGTTTGCTTTTGCTAAGCGCTTCTTCGTAGCATTAGCATATATGACCGCCTTAAACATACGCGTCCCTAGCTTGTTCCTAGCCTAGTCTAAAAGAAACAATTATGTCTAGCCGAGTACGTGCATTATAATACCTTTTAGCAATTAGTGAAGGATGTCGACTATAAGACTCTTATATATGTCTATTAGCGGCATTGTTAAGGTAAAACAATTAATGTCGTAGATGCGTTTGTCTAGATTAAGTTCTAATTTATCTCTAGATCCTAGACCGGCCTCCTCTTCCTCTAACTCTATGCCGTCGTCTATAACGTTAAAAGTCTACGAGGGCTAAGCCGTACTGCTACTAGACGTACTAGTAGCTCCTTTACGTTGTCGCTAAATCCTCTCTCTTATATTAGTCTTAGACCTCTACTCGGCTATAAGTTTAAGGTCCTCTCGTAGATCCGGGTAAATCTTATACATTATATAGTGTCTATTACCTAATACTCTAGTTAACTTAACCTACTCCTCGTAATCTATCGTAAAGGCTATAATAATCGGGACATAACGTCTAGTCTAGCCGTCCGAGTAGGGGATTTCGGTACCTGCCTAAAGACACATCTACTTTACTAGTTTAAATATAGTTGCTAGACAGTAGTAAAATATCCGACCTCTTATTATTACATCTCCCTCCTTAACGATAGGAATTAGACTAAGCAGTATTAACCTAGGACGCTCGTTTAAATGTCGAGCAGAGGCACGAAGATTTCTAATGCTAAGGTAGACTACGTAGGCTGCTAGGTCGCCTAACTATAGGGTTAACATAGTCTTGTCGCTTATAATAATTAATGGCACGATCGTTGCGCCCCTACTACGTCTATCCTAACTAATCTTTTCTTATGTTTCCTACTACTAGTCTCCTGTCGGCATATCGTTATATCTTCTATAGGTTTGAGTCTCGTCGGTCTATACCCTATACGGCTTATAATAGAGGTCGTCTTTAAATCCTAGATATCTAAGAAAGAAGCGAATAGTACGTACTAGATCTTAATATCGTAAGGTATACATTTTATTCCCGTTTAGACTATTGTCGCTAGGTACGTCTACGGTTATGTACTTCTACTAACTAATGTCGGCGACAGTTATTATCTTTTCTATCTTCTCGCGTAGGTCGTTAGCGGAATCCTAGCCTAACTAGTCGACTAGCGACTTAAGACCGGGTTACTTTAGGAGGCGGTCGATACTGTTCTTCGATATGTTCTCTTAGTGTATCTAACGAGCAAAGTCGAAACTAAACCGACTTCTAAATTCGCGTAAGAGTATCGTCTCTAACGTGTTAGGGATAGGGCATCTAGGATCGTNTTAGACTAGTAGGAACAATAGCCTAATAATAAAGTCCTCTAACCTCTAAAGCCTAGCCGCCGCTTAGAGCTTTATGTTGTCGCTAAACGTTTTACGTACCTCTATCGCCGCCGAGGAGGATAGCCGGCCGCTATTCGGTTTAATNNAAGCGCTATACGCGAGACTCGGTATATCTTCGACTATAGTTGCCTAATATTCATTATCTATAACTAAGGTAGGGAGGTTATGCTCCGTATAGTCTTATTCGTCCTCTAAACTAGCATCTAAGATNATTAACAATAGCTTTAGCGCTTCTAAGAGTAAGGTCTAATAACAAGCTCGCCTTAAACATAGGATTAGACTCCCTTAATGCTTTAAAGCAAGGGAAGTTGCTAATGTAGCGGAACTTATAGATGCTTTAGAGGAAGCTAGCCTAAGAGAATTCCGACTTTTCGCCGCCATTCTTTGCTATTGCTATTTTAACATGTTTAGCTCGTATAATAGCCTATTTAAGCGCAACCCTATAAGGTTCGGCGATGTCGTTATAGTATTCCTCTAGGATAGGGACGTTTATGTCTAGAATTCGCACTAGTGCCATGTTTATAATCGGAATCTAATTAGGTCCCTACAGTGTCGATGTAGTAAACTAAATGGTCGAGTCGTTTAGTAGACGAGCTAAATCCTAAGCCTTAGGCTTATTAGTAATGGTTGTCGTTAACTGTCCTACCTTATGGTCAATAAGGGCGCCGCTAGTAGAAACGTCCTTATTAAGGACTCTATAGATCTATCTTAACGTAACAAAGCTCTTTGCTAGGAGCTAGTCTCTCCTAACCTAGTTATCTATGTAATTAAACATATCGATCGCACTTTCTCCCTTCCTAGATGCTTTAAGAAGTAAGGTATACTAATCTTAAAAGCGGTCCAGGTAATAGGTACTAGTGCCTAGATTAGTTATGCCATTAGTTAGAGAAGGGATGCAACGGCTTAAGCTCTCTATAGCCATTAATAGAGCGATAAGGGAACTTAGCTTATTAAGGAAGGTTCCGCTAATCTAGATAAACTGCGGTAAGCCTAGAATGCTTATTATGTT